TTGGCTGCGCGCCGCGCGAGTGGCCGCTGCGCCTGGGGATGCTGCCCCGGCGCTGGAGCATGCGCGCGCAGTGCTGCCGCTGTCTGCGCGGCGCCTCCGCGGGCGACGCCGCCGCGCTCGGGGAGGGAGATGGAAGAGGAGAACGCGTGGAGCTGCACCTGGGCCCAGGGGCGCACGAAGCATTCCTGAGCTGCAACGAGGAGCCGCCCACAACTATGTCGCTGGCGCTTCCGCGACAGCCGTGCTTGCAGTCTACGCCGCCGTCGAGGCCGCGGTCGCGAAGCGGGGCGGCGACCTGCTGACCGCAGAGGAAGTGTCTAGGCTGTCGAACACCCTCAAGGAATTCGCGATCTCGGTCATGGCGGCCGCCCAGGGGCGCCCGAAACGCCGTGGGCCTCACGCGTGTTTCCAGACCGAAGCACTGGAAGGGGTTGGGCGGCATGGCCGTCTGGGGCATCAGGCTTCCGCGACATGGGCGTCGGGGCCCCCGAGGCGATCGCTGGCGCGGCGATGCGGGCGCCGCGGCGCGCGCTGTCCACTGAGGCGGCGCGTCGCCCTGACTGGGTGCGCGTCGCCGCGGGCGTCGAGAAGGCGCTCTTGCAGGGCGCGGCGCGCGCTGAGATGCAGGGGCAGGGCGAGGCGCCCCGCGTGGTGAACTTCACCCTGCCGCCTGGCAGTGCAGCCGTCGTCAGGCACGTGCCAGGCCTTCGACGAGCGGACAGAGTGCCTGCGCTGCATCGAGCCGGGCGCGGGCTGCAATCACGCGCTCTGGGCCTTTTCCATGAAGCTCGCTTGGGCCATGCGCTCGCCCGAGTGCGACGCCAGGCCCGCGAGGTGTGGCCAAGATGTCGAGGTCGAGCGTGGGGCGTTCGGTGCCTATGGCGCCGGCGGCATGGAGCCTGTGCTCGCGCTGCCCAAGCATGTTGACGATTTGAAGGTCGCAGGGTGCAAGGGGCGCGTTGACTGCCTGAATGACCGCGTCGAGATTGTCTTCGGCAAAGTGAAGTGCGACTGCGGCGATTTCACGAACCTCGGAGTGCACCAGCACGGCAGTGCCGACGGAGAAGTGACGCGCGACCAGGACGAGTACGTCGACGCCCTGGCCCCCATCGGGCACGCCGACCTGATCAAAGCGAAGGATGACGAGCCGGCAGGAGGTCTGCTTCCAGGCCTCGTTTCCTTCCTCCTCGGAGCAGCAGCGTGCGCTCTGCTCGCGCCTCGCCGTGTCGCCGCGTGCGTCCTCGCTCTGCAGAGGTCCGATTTCTCGCGTGAACAAGTCGCCAATTCGTCGTCGCATGTTGCAGCTCAACTCCGCGGCCCAGGCCGCGCGGAAGATCGAGGCGCGCGCCGCCGTCCCAGCCGTGGAGTGCCCCGAACGGTTTTTCGCGCACGTCGACGGGGGGGAGGGCGCCGGCGTCGGCAGGAGAGGAGCCGTCTACGCGCGTCTGGGCAAGTCCCGCAGCACTGCCAGGCAGGTATGCCACTTGCTCGACGATGTGAGCCGATCGCACAAGCTGGCGCGTCGACCGTCACTTGGCTCAGGGCTGCTCGCGGCGCGCGGTGCAGCTGACGACCTGCAGACGCGCCCCCTGGCGTTCCATCCGATGGCGCGCGGCCCAGCACTGGCTGAGGAGATCAGGGGCCTGAGAGAGGAAGGGCGCTATGCACTGCCGGTCGAGCTTGTTGTAGACGGCGCGTCCGTCTTCGCGGCCTTGGCCGTGGGTCCTGTTCGACCGCCTTCGGAAAGCAGCTTGACCAGCCACCTCTGGTGGTGGCTATCAGACCAGCTCCGCACTGGGCAGATCGACGACGTGCTCTGGTGCGACACTAGAGACATGGGGGTCGACCCCATGACGACAGGGGCCATCGGCCAGGAACTCATTCTCGACGTCATGAGCGGGAAGCTCAGCTGCGACCGCGCCGCCGTCAGGCTGAGCCAGGAGCGGCACGGGAGGACGGTGCCGAGTTCCCGTCATAGCAGTCCCACTCACGAGGGCAAGGGCGACCATAATGACGAAATCACCGGTTCGCCCGACACCGCGGGCAAAGGCGACCTGGGTGAATATTGACAATGTCCTCGCAGTTGTCGGTCCCAACGACGGCGACGGACGAGGCAGACGCTTCCATCTCGCGAATCATGTTCACGAATGCGACGTAGTGAAGCATGCATGAAAGAGGTTTGGTTCCATGAGCGCAGCAAACGCGTAAACGTAGAACGTGGCAGTGAATGGGGCCGTGTTTCATTCCTTGCCTTCTCCCTGCAACGTTTTTATGAGTGGCGTGGTCAGTGGAACGTCCGCTCGTGAGTATTTTGCTCTTGGTTTGTTGATCCGTGCGCGGCTTGCGTGCGCGAGCCGAGGAGGCGAAGCAGTTTCGTTCGAGCACCCGACTCGAACGGTAGATGCGCCCTCTCTCTGCCCTTTCCCCGCTGCCACTTGGTTCGCTTGGGCTGTCCGTCCGTGCCCGTGTTAGTGGCATGCTCTTTTCCGTTGTCTTACGTACTCTGTGTACCGAAAATGCGATTTCACATCCTGCTCCTTTTCTCTGACTCTCCTCCCCCCATCCTTTGCGCGGTCCATGGCCCCCTTGAACTACATATAACGTTCGAGCACCAAGGTCTGATGTGACATTTCATTGATTTGGCAAATCGGAAGTGCTGAGCTGGACAAGGATAAATGGTGGAGTGGTTGGATGTCGGACTTGGTGTCGATGCACCTGGCTCGCCCTCTGTTCTCCCCTTTCTCTCCCTGCAGCCCCCTCCTTCCGCCGCGCCCTTTTCATACCCCAGAAGTTGCATTCTTCACTGCGTTCGCCCCTGGAGGTCTTGTCCTTTCACGGCGTTGGCCCTTGTTTTTTTCACAGCGTTCCTCCCCCACGGCTATCCGCGGGCCCATCAACAAAAAACTCACAGGCCGAAACTTGCTTAGAGGAACAACGGGCGGCATGCATATCAACTTTCGGAGGTCGGTGCCAATTTCTTGGATCGCGTTGGACCTCCCTTCTCGGGCGCGAGGAGCGCGCCAAGGTCGGCGCCAGAGGTGCCCCCAGAGGGGGGCGAACGCCGATCCAAGAAAATCCGCTGGGAGCCCGAAAAGTTTATTTTTATACAGGTTGTTCGTCTTAGGTTGCCGGAAGCTTCCTTCCGTGCCTTCCCAGAAATATGCGCGGGGGGTTCGGCTCCTCCCCGCCCTGTCCGCTTCCCTCGCCGCTCCACGTTCGCTATTTCGCCCGCCCCGTCGCCCCGAGCCTAGTCGTCATGCCCTTGGCCATGGCGCGCGCCTGGATCTCGCACGCGTCCCTGCCCATCATTCTTGCGATAGGCCGCACTGGGAAGGGTGGGGGGGAGGGATGATGATGATGAGGAGGAGGAGAGAAGGAGGATAGGAGGGAGGAAGGAATAGGAGGAAAGGAGGGGAGGAGGAGGAGGAGGAGGCGGAGGAAGGAGAGGAGTAGGAGGATGAGGAGGAGGAGGGAGGAGGAGGAGGAGGAGGAGGGAGGAGGAGGAGGAGGAGGAGGAAAAGAGGAGAGGAGGAGGGAAAGGGGAGGAGGAAAGAGAGAGGAGGAGGAGGAGGAGGAGGAGGGAGAAGGAGGAGGAGCAGGAGGAGGAGGAGGCAGAGGAGGAGGGGAGGAGGAGGAGGAGGAGGAGGAGAGGAGGAGGAGGAGGAGGAGGAGGAGGAGGAGGAATAGGAGGAGGAGGCGGAGGAAAAGGAGGAGGAGGCGGAGGAGGAGGAGGAGGAGGAGGAGGAGTAGGATGAGGAGGAGGAGGAGGAACGGCAGGAGGGAGGAGGAGGAGGAGGAGGAGGAGGAGGAGGGGAAAGAGGAGAGGAGGAGGGGTAAGGGGGGGAGGAGGAGGAGGAGGAGGAGGAGGAGGAGGAGGAGGACATGGAGGAGGAGGAGGAAGAGGAGGATGGGGAGGAGGAGGAGAAGGAGGAGGAGGAGGAGGAGGAGGAGGAGGAGGGTGGGGTGGGGTTGGGGAGAAAGAGGAGGAGGAGGAGGAGGAGGAGGAGGAGGAGGAGGAATGGTGGAACAAGGGCGGGGTAGACATGAACACGACGACGACGACGATGACGATGATGATGATGATGATGATGATGATGATGATGATGATGATGATGATGATGATGATGATGATGATGATGATGATGATGATGATGATGATGATGATGATGATGATGATGATGATGATGATGATGATGATGATGATGTGCAGATGATGATGCATGATGATGATGATGATGATGATGATGATGATGATTGATGCTGATGATGATGTGATGATGATGATTGCTGAGAATGCTGATGATGATGATGATGCTGATGATGATGGTGATGATGATGATGATGATGATGATTGATGATGAGTGAGATGATGCGATGGTGATGATGATGATGATGATGATGATGATGATGATGATGATGATGATGATGATGATGATGATGATGATGATGATGATGATGATGCTGATGATGATGATGATGATGATGATGATGATGATGATGATGATGATGATGATGATGATGATGAGACTTGTCCTGCGAACGTGTAGGGGGTGCAGCGCAGAGTCCGTTCTATTTCGCTCAAGCCTTTTACCTCCAGGGAGCACCTGAGTTTTTCTATGCGGATCAACGCTCCCACCAGAGTTCCCGCGTGGGCCCTCATTGGTGTCCTCTGTGCCTTGGACGCCTGGTGGCCTGGGCTTGTGCGCAACGGCGGCGGCGGGGGCCCCCTGGACAGCCGTCCTCCGCGCAGGCGGCTGAGGCGGCGGCGCGCGAGGCGGAACGGGCGCTGGCCTATGCTCGCAACCTCTCTGGCTGCCTGGCGGACCTCGCTCGGCTCTACGGGGAGGTGGAGACGCTTGCTGGCCGCGTGCGGCAGCTGCAGGAGGAGCAGGTCCGCCACAGCGAGGACGCGGGCTCGTTCTACGTGCACGCCATCGGCTGACTGCTCACGGGCGTGCTGACGCAAGTGGTGACGGCCGTCACCCACTGGCGTTCACGCGATGGCGCTGCTGCCGCGACTACGTCTGTACAGGGCCGAGGGGAACGCCGCCGAGGCGGCGGAGTTCTTCAATGAGTTGTTGCCAGGCCGCGTCGTCACCGTCCACTATGGTGACGACCGCGGCATGTGGCACGAGCGGGTCCTGGTCTGGCCTGCTGATTCTGCTCGCCCGTCCACTCGTTGAACGATCTTGACGCCAGACGGTGACGTCTACGAGGAGGAGCTCGCCAGCGGGGCCGACGGCGATGGTCATGACATGGCGTCGCTGACGCTCGGCGCCACACCAGCTCGCCAGCGGCCCGCGGGACGGGTGTACCGCTTCCGCGCCTACCCAACGGAGGCGGAGCTGTTGCAATTGGTGCGCGCTGCCAGGCGCGCCGCCAGGGATGCAGATCTAGTCGTTTCGGAGCCACCGTACTACATGCGGGACGCCGAGGTGCTGGGCGACGGGGCGACGGTCAGCTTCGGGGGCGCTCCTGGCTTCTACCGCCGCATGGCACGGAAGGCCCCGCTGGCGGCGGCGGCCGTTGGCGGCGGCGGAGGCGCCAGTGGTGCTGCTGGGCCAGCCCCCCCCCCTTCCAGGCGACCGACCGCCTGTGGGCGATTGTGATGATGAGCTAGAGGACGGCGGCGCTGTCGGCGGCACCGCTACTCCTCCGCCTGGGCTTGGGGCTCGCGTGCTGACGGCCGGCGAGGCGCCGCCGCCGGGCATGAGCTGGATTGCGGCGAAGACGGTGACAGGCGAGACCCAGAAGGGTGACGAGATCACACCAGGTGTCGGAGATGTGCTGTGGGGCGAGAGTGGGCTTCATGGCCTCTCGTCGGGCTTCATCGTGCCCATGGAGTTGGTCCCGACCTCCTATCGCGCGTGCCACTGGCGATGACGACGATGACGCCCGCCTGCCGGGTGCTCTGACGCGCGCGCGGGAGGGTCGGCGGCGCCGAGACTCCCGCGAGTCGGTGAGCCAGATGCGCCAGGAGGTCTTAGACGACTTCCCACTGTCGGGCGAGCGCAGCTACGAGTGGCTGTTTGAGCATATCGTGGAGCATGGCGGCACCCCCGAAGGACGCCAGACGAAGTGGATGACCGAGAGCGGCTGCGCGAAAGACTCGGCGGCCGCCCACTTCCACGACCTCCTGGGGCTCTCCATTGAGCTCGCGCAGACGTCGACCAGGTCGACGGCTCGAACCTGGCCTGCGTGGAGGTGGTGGCGCGCGCCTACCAGCTGGTGGAGGAGACGATGGGCGGCATGAAGGTAGGGGGGGTCGAGCACTACATCGGCCGCTCGAACCAGAGTGCCCGCCGCGGCGTGGCAGTCGCCCCAGGCCTCGCCAAGTGCGCGACCGAGCAGCTCGCGAAGGAGACCGAGATCCAGAAGCAGCGGAGGAAGGCGCGCGAAGAGAAGGGCGCCTCCTCGGGCAAGAAGGGGCAGGGGCGAACTGGGGCCGGCGGTCGGGGGGTCGCTCGACCCGACCGCCGTTTCTCGAGAGCCAGTTTTGTCGGCCTGATGATGGCCCACTTCTCGGCGATGGGATGCTGCCCTTTGCAGTGCCTGCTGCGCCAGTTCCTCCCCGACCTCCGCCTGGGCTATCCCGTTCGGTTCGGGCACGCATGCAACGTACTCAGTCCATAGGGGAGCGTGTTCGGGACACCGTGGAGTGCTTCAACCTGCTTGGGGGCTACACCGCGCCGCAGTGCACGCCAGAGCGCCCCTCGGATCTGGGCGACCTTCTTCTTCCACGCGTCCGCGGTCTCCACCGTCAGATGGAGGCGCCCGCTGGCGCGTCGGCCCAGGAAGCCTGCTCAGAGCTTTCGGGCCGCCCGTGTCTACACTACGACACGTCCAACGACTTACCGCTGAGGTCAGATGCGCCACGCTTCGTGAGCTGGCCCAACTTGGGGAACGAGCCAGGCTGGCTCGCTGACCGCCTCGGGCCTCGCGATCGCTGCTCACTCCTTGACCTCGACCACGCTTTGCTGCTGCCGCCCCGGAGCTTTGACGCGGTGGCGGAGGAGGGCGGGGGGCCTACGCTATATATGGATCCTGTGCTGGAGAGGGACTGCGCGCTGTACATAGAGTCTGTGAAGTCGGGGATCTCCAGAGGCGTCTTTGTGCCTGGTAAGACTCGGGTCGAGGGCGTGGGGGTGTTCTTCGTCGCCGAGGACTTCCTCATCAGAATGGTTTTGGACTGCAGGAGGAGCAACCAACGGTTTCAGCCTTCTCCGCCCGTAAGCCTCTTCTCGGCCGCGGGCTTCGCGGACCTTGAGGTGCCGCTTGGGACCTCGCTCTACTTCGCGGGGGTCGACGTGCAGAGCGCCTTCTACCAGCGCAAGCTGCCCGCCTACCTCCGCCCGCTCTTCTGCCTGCCCGTGGTGGCCGCCGGCGAGCTGGGGGTCGGCGAGCTCGACGGCCACCGCGTGGCGCCGTGGGCGCGGCTGTATCCGCAGTTGGCCGCGGCGCCTATGGGCTGGAGTTGGGCGCTCTACTTTGCGCAGCGGGCCCGCGAGCGCGCGCTCGACCAGCGCCCTGCCCTGGGGCCTGAGCTGCGCGCCGTGGACTTCGAGCCGCCCCCCATCGCCGCTCTCCGAGCCCGCCCACTCCCTCTACGTCGACAACGCGCTGGTGGTGGGGACGGACCGCGAGGAGGTCGCGCGCGTGAGGCAGCTCGCATCCCAGACGCTAGAAGCTGCTGGTCTGGCTGTGCACGACGAGTCCGATGCCGCGGAGGCCATGGTGATGCTGGGCAGGCAGCTGGAGGGCCGCCCTGCGCGGGCGACCCTTGCGCCGCGCCGCTTCTGGAAGCTGCGCCTTGGGATCGGCTTCTTGTTGCAGCGGCGGCCGTGGGTCACTAGTCGCGACATCGATCACCTCCTTGGCCACTGCACCTTCGCGGCGCTCTGCAGGCGGGAGAGCCTCGGCTGCTTCGGCGCCGTCTATGGCTTCGTGCAGCAGGGGTATCAGCGAGCGCGGCCGCTGTGGGCTTCCGCGCGGAAAGAGCTCATGATCTTCCGCGGCATCCTGATCGCGCTGGAGGCGCGCCTGGATGCGCCGTGGTCGCCGCAGGTGGTGGTGGCCGACGCCTGCGAGACTGGCCGCGCGTCCGCGCCCGCCGCCTGGGGTGTCGCCGATGTCGCTGCGGCAGGCCGCTGGCATGAACGGTGGCGATTCCGCCGCGCCCGCGAGGGCGACGGGACCTTGCGCCCGCGCGACCGCGCTGCCCGCACGGCCGCGGCTGCGCTCCTAGAGGCCGACCCGTCGCATGCAGCCCTGAGGGGCGAGTCATCAAAAAACTTCCCCGATGTGTCGGCGCACTACCTCCGCCGCTCCAAGTGGAAGCTGATGCGCTACGTCCCGACGTTTAGAAAGGTGCCTATGCACCGTGAAGAAGCAAGGGGAGATCTACACGCCGTCAAGCTGATCCTGTCGGGCGCGGATTCCTGGGGGAAGAAACATGCGGTCTTTGGGGGCAATCTTGCACTCGCGCTTGCACTCTCGAAAGGACGATGCCGTGACATTTACTAGTTCAATATACTTCGCCGAGGGGCCGCCCTTGCCCTTGCCACGGGGGCCCGTTTCCATCGCCGATGGGTGCCCAGCGAATTGAATGGGGGCGACGGCGCCAGACGAGCCCGTGAGCGTGCTGACAGCGCCAGTGGTGGCCGCACAAGCTGGCGTGAGCTTGCCGCGGAGGGCCGACAGTTGCGCCCGCACCGTGAGACAGCCTGGCGCTCAACGGCTGGCGTGGGCCCCCCAGGCCTCAGAGGGGCTGCCGCCGAGACGGCCCACGCGGGCGCCGCGACTGGCTGCGCCACTGGGCCAGGCTGCAGCGTCGCGCGTGCCGCCCGCCGCAGCTGTGGGGCGAGCCGAGACTCTGGGCGCGTGCCCCGGTCTCTGGCCCCCCGAGTCCGTCTGGCTCGCGCTGTGGGGCTTCTCACGCGGCGACTGGAGGCGCGGCCGTTCTTGCCGAGCTTTGCGCCGCCAACGTCCGCCGCGGTCCCGACGCGGGAACTGCTGGGCAGTGGGGGGCAGGCGCGGGGCACCACTCGCCAGCTCTCCATCGCCGAGACGGCAGCTCTTGGGAAGCGGAGCCGCCACCAGTATCGCAATCTGCTGGAGCAGTTCTTGATGGCCAGCGAGCTGCCGACGCTGGGCGCGGCTGCGCCCCTGCTGGATGCCGCCGTTGTGAGGTTCTTCGACGAGCTCTACCTGGCAGGCAAGGCGGCGTCCACAGGCGAGAAGCTGATCGCCGCGATCGCCATGCGCGTGCCCGACTACCAGTTCAAGGGCCGCCTGGCCTTGCCCCGCGCTCGCCGCGCGCTGCGAGGCTGGCGGGTGCCGCGGCCGTCGCGGACGCGCCGTCCGCTGCCGTGGGCCGCCCGCGTGGGTCGCCCAGCGCTTGTGCCGAATCGGCGGCAAGAAGGAGATGGCTCTCTACTGGCTGTTGATGGTCGACACCTACCTTCGACCTGGGGAGGCCTTCCGCTTGACGAAAGGCCAAATGGTGCCGTCACAGGCCGAGATGCCCAATGTTACGATCCACATCAGCCCCGACTACTTGAAGAGGCCGGCCCAGGCGGTCTGGTCGCCAATGACAACGGCAGCGCGGGCCTACTGCATGCGCGCGAATGTCGAGCTGCACGTGCAGCGCAACAGCGTCTGAATGAGAGGCTTCGCTTGCTCCCGTCCCAGTCTGGACAGTTCTTTGTCATCGAATTCTTCTCGGGTTCTGAGCACTTCTCGAACAACTTGAGAAAGCGTGTTTTTTTTGTTGGTTCGTTCTTTTTTTTGTCCCCCCCCGGCGTTTTCTTTCGATTGGTTGCAGGGCCCAGAGGGCGACCTCCTGCGGCCCGCTGTCTCGAACCTCATCATTCGCATGATTAGGAGCGACAACTGACTCGGGCTTCTCGCGGGCGTTCCGTGCGCGAGTTTCTCGATTGCGCGAGGTGGCCACAACGCCATCCGCAGCAGTGAACACCCCCTCGGCCACCCCCCCCTCCCGCCCCCTCTCCAAGTCGTGGTAGACGAGGGCAATGTAATATTACAGGTGTCTTTCAAGATTTTCAACGCTTGTCAGCAGGTGCGCGTTCCTTTTTTGATGGGGGAACCCTCGGTCATCCTACGCGTGGGAAGTAGACACCGCACGGCGTATATTATGTTGGCCTGGTGTCCAAGACGTGATTACTCATTATTGCGGCTGTGGTGAGCCCTCGCGTAAACCAACCAGGTTTCGCGTGTTTTTGCTTCCTCGGGCCTGCGATCTTTCAAAACGTTGTCGGCCCACCCGCGGGCTCTGCACTTTCTCCGGGAGGAAGCGCTGGGCCGCTCGGGCCGCCGCGGACCCCAAACCCTTGTGTAATGCTATGGCCGACGTGTTCCTTGACGCCGCTGTTGATCGCGTCCTCAAGCAGAATATTCGCCCCTGCCCCTTCCGCCCCTCCCCCCCGCCCCTTTCGTCTTAACGCCGCTGTGCCGTGCTCCAGAGAACCCTGTGCGGTCTTTGGATGCTTCGAAGTTTTGCAATGAAATTGGTTTCAGCTGTCCGTTCGCTGCTGCCGCCCTTGTCGCCGCCGCTCTCGTTTGGGCCCCACGTGCGGATGACGGATGCCGCTGCTCTGAGAATTAAGGGCGGGTGGGGGACCTCCGACTTGTCCTGCGCACGTGTAGGGGGTGCAGCGCAGAGTCCGTTCTATTTCGCTCGAGCCTCCCGCCCCGTCTGGTTCCTCGACTTTCCGCCCTTGCTCGCGGCGGGCCGCGAGCGCAGATTTGAGCGGCGATGAGATTGGTTTCGGCTGTCCGTTCGCTGCTGCCGCCCTTGTCGCCGCCGCTCTCGTTTGGGTCCCACGTGCGGATGACAGATATCACTGCTCTGAAAATGAAGGATGGGTGGGGAACCTCCTGATGATGCTGATGAAGATCATGACGATGACGATGATGCTGATGATGATGTTGCTGCTGCTGATGGTGATTGCGATTATGACAATGACGGTGATGATGCGACTGCTGCTGATGCTGATGCTGATGCTGATGATGATGATGCTGCTCATGCTCATGATGATGACGATGATGGTGCTAATACTGATGATGATGATGGTGGTGGTGGTGATGATGATGCTGATGATGATGCTGGTGTTAATGATGCTGATGCTGATGCTGGTGAGAATCATGTTGGTGGTGGTGGTGGTGGTGATGCTGCTGCTGCTGATGACGATGGCCATGGCGTTGACGATGCGGATGATGATGCTGATGGTGATTGCAATGATGGTGATGACGATGGCGCTGATGATGCTGATAATTATGATGCTGCTGCTGCTGATGCGGCTGCTGCTGGTGATGATGATGATCAGGCGCATGACGATGATGCTGATGCTGGTTAGTACGATGATGATGCTTCTGCAGATGATGGTGATGACGCTGATGCTGATGCAACTGCTGATTATGATGATGATGCTTCTGCTGATGATGGTTATGAAGCTGATGATGATTATGATGGTGATGCTCATGCTGATGATGATGATGATGACGATGCTGGTGGTGGACGTGATGGTGTTGTTGCTGATAACGGTGATGATGCTGATGTTGCTGATGAGGATGCTGATGTCGATTATGATGATGATGATAACGATAATGATGATGATGCTGATGGTGATGATGCTGACGGGTTATGGTGGTGATGGTGGTGGTGATTCTGATAGTAGTACTGATGACGATCATGATGAGTATGATGAAGATGATGATGATGATGATGATGATTGTGATGATGATGCTGGTGGCGATGGTGACGTCGACGACGATGCTGATGATGATGATGATGATGAGGACGATGCGGGTGATGCGGATGACGCTGGCGATGACGATGACGATGATGAAGCAGATGATGGTGGTGATGGGGATGCTGATGATGAGGCGGATGATGATGATGCTGATGATGGTGCTGGTGGTGTGAGTGATGTTGATGCTGATGCTGATGACGATGATGATGAGGACGATGATGATGCTGCTGATGATGATGATGCTTGTGTTGGTGGTGAATGATGATGATGGTGACGTTGGTGGTGGTGGTCATGGTGGTCGTGGTCGTGGTGGGGGTGGTGATTGTGGTGGTGGTGGTGATGATGATGGTGATGACGATGATGATGATTATGGTGGTGGTGGTGATGATTGCGATGGTGGTGATGGTAATGATGATGACGATGCTGATGATGGTGGTGATGATGATGAGGATGATGATAGTGAACGTTATGCCGGTGATGGTCATGGTGATGTTGATGATGATGATGGTGGTGATGCTGATGTTGTTCATGCCTATGCCGGTGACGATGATGAGGATGATGGTACTGATTCTGATGCTGATGATGATGATGCGGATGCTGATGATGCTGATGTTGATGGTTTTGGTGGTCGTGATTGATGATGAGGAGGAGGATTATTTTATTGTTGCTGTTTTTCCCAACCATCCTGTGGTGTTGGGTCCTCGCTTTGAAAGACAGCGCCCCGCGTCTCCTCTCCTCTCCTCTCCTCTCCTCCTCCTCCTCTCCCCCCTCCTCCCTCCCCCCATCGCCGTCATCATACTCATCGTCATCATCATCGTCCTCATCTTCGTCATCATCATCTTCCTCGTCATCATCACCACCAGCATCATCATCGTCATCATCATCGCCATCGCCATTAGTTCCCAACCATCCTGTCATCATCACCACCAGCATCATCATCGTCATCATCATCATCATCATCGCCATCGCCATTCGTTCCAATTTCCGCACATCTCTCACACCCCTCACACGTTTCGTGGCCCCATAGGGAGCTCCACCGAAGGCCCCAGTGGCAGGGTTCGCATGCCGCCCCCACCCCACTTTGGCACACCCCTCACACGTTTCGTGGCCCCATAGGGAGCTCCACCGAAGGCCCCAGTGGCAGGGTTCGCATGCCGCCCCCACCCACTTTGGCACACCCCTCACACGTTTCGTGGCCCCATAGGTAGCTCCACCGAAGGCCCCAGTGGCAGGGTTCGCATGCCGCCCCCACCCCACTTTGGCACACCCCTCACGCATTTCGTGGCCCCATAGGTAGCTCCACCGAAGGCCCCAGTGGCAGGGTTCGCATGCCGCCCCCACCTCACGTTGGCACACCCCTCACGCGTTTCGTGGCCCCATAGGTAGCTCCACCGAAGGCCCCAGTGGCAGGGTTCGCATGCCGCCCCCCACCACTTTGGCACACCCCTCACACGTTTCGTGGCCCCATAGGGAGCTCCACCGAAGGCCCCAGTGGCAGGGTTCGCATGCCGCCCCCATCCCACTTTGGCACACCCCTCACACGTTTCGTGGCCCCATAGGGAGCTCCACCGACGGCCCCAGTGGCAGGGTTCGCATGCCGCCCCCCCACTTTGTTTCGTGGCCCCATAGGGTGCTCTACCGAAGGCCCCCGTGGCAGGGTTCGCATGCCGCCCCCACCCACTTTTGCACACCCTTCACACGTTTCGTGGCCCCATTGGGAGTTCCACCGGCGGCCCCAGTGGCAGGGTTCGCATGCGTCCGCGCCACCCATGTCGACACACCCTTGACACGTTTCGTGGCCCCATAATGAGCTCCACCGAAGGCCCCAGTGGCAGAGTTGGCATGCCGCCCCTCGCCCATTTCGGCCCACCCCTCACACGTTTCGTGGCCCCATAGGGAGCTCCACCGAAGGGGCCCCAGTGGTTGCGTTCGCATGCGTCCCCACCACCCATTTCGGCACACCCCTCATACGTTTCGTGGCCCCATAGGGAGCTCCACCGAAGGCCCCAGTGGCTCCCCACCACCCATTTCGGCACACCCCTCACACGTTTCGTGGCCCCATAGGGAGCTCCACCGAAGGCCCCAGTGGCTGCGTTCGCATGCCTCCCCACCACCCATTTCGGCACACCCCTCACACGTTTCGTGGCCCCATAGGGAGCTCCACCGAAGGCCCCAGTGGCAGGGTCCGCATGCCTCCCCACCCATTTCGGCACACCCTTCACACGTTTCGTGGCCCCATAGGGAGCTCCACCGAAGGCCCCAGTGGCGCGGTGCCTATGAGAAGAGGGGCCTAGTTTGCGTGCCCCCTCCTTCGTCTCATATCCGTGCGGTACTCGCAGCTGCATATGGTTGGGTCCTTCGCCAGGCTATTTTTTTTGGGGGGGGAGCGATGGGTTGGGACGGGAACGGGGAATACACCGCTCCAGCTATCCCCGCTGGCTATCCCAGATCTGGTGGCAGCGATGCACTCCAGTGGGGCGGCGCGGGCAGTGAATTGCTGCCTCCTCGACGCGGTGGCATACGCACCCACCTCTGGCCACTACACAGGGACTTCCTGTGCCGCACAAGCGACATGCACGTCGCGCTAGGAGCGCTCGCCTCCTTTTGAGGCGCGACAACGCGTTCGCACCACCCCTACGCACTTGTGGCTGGCACGGGTTCGCCAGTTTACTTTTCTTCTCCTGAGTGTAGCAACCGCACACGATGAAACAAACATAAGGGGGATTTGTTTCATCTCCGCCCTCGGTGCTCGCAAGCTTATGGCCATTAGTCGGGGCCTCCGCAAAAAAATAGCACACACACTCTTTGGGTGCCCCTGACATCCCACTGCAGGCCTGTCGTTTGCAGCTCCACCGTAAAAACGTAAGTAGTTGGCACACTGAGCTCTCCA